GTAAAATTCAAACAAATAAAGATAACTTTTTATATAATTTTACAACAATAAAATTATCAAGTTCATTAATTGTTAAAAAAATATCTAAACGTTACTAATAATTGTGATTATTATTTGAACGTTTACAGGCATGATTTAGGTCATCATCTAGCTTGGGGTAGAGAATTCTCAGTTTGTGAACAAGCTGGACCTAAAATTGAAAATGACAAAAAAGTTTTAGATAATACATTGAAGGTCCAACTGTGTCTAAGAGTTATGCATATTAGCAGTGTTGTGCCATTTATGGTTCCAATAAATTTTCATTGGAACATTCCAACAAATTCTAATTGGAATTGGAACGTTCCAAATGTGGCTCCAATGAAGTTAACCAATGAAATTCAATTAGAGTGTTACATACACAAATTCTATTGGTCAATCTACATTGAAACCATATTGGAGCCACATCGGAACATTCCAATAGCATTACAATGTCCAATTGCACAACACTGCATATTAGTATGATGAAATATATATCTGAAAAAAGTGGTGGGCTTCTTTCAAAACAAATTTTAAAGGCGTTCACTAAATTGTATATGCCAGGTTTTGTTTCCTCAAGTTTTTTTATGAGAATCATTCTTTTGGAGCTCTCTGAGTTTGATATTCCGACTTCCTGTGGTGAATGTTGGACCCAAGATATAATAAACATTTCAAAAACTTGATGCAAAAATCGAATTTAAAATTTAATTTCTTTAAATGAAACTTCATCGGAAGTTCAAGATGCAAAAATGCTAGTGATAAATCACAGCAGGGATTGCTTTTTAATGTAATAATAACAACTCAAACATTAATAAAAATTTGGGTGAAATTGACGGATAGATATTTAGATGACTCATTTGAATGGTGGAATGAGCATAAAGGGGATTCTACAATTCTTTCAGAACTAACCAACCTCAGCTCCTAGTGAGAGGTTGTTCAGCATTGTTGGTAATAAATAATATCACCAATAAACGCACACAAACTTTGAAGCCAAGTATTGTAAAAAATTGATTGATCTTTTTAAAACAGACAGAATATAGAAAAAATGAATAGCTTTAATGATCTCATTTTTATGCGTACGTTTGTACATTCTAACTTTTATTTGTCGAACCCTGGTAAGTTGGATCTAGGAAGAAGAAGAATAATAAAACTCTTATCATTATTGAAATTCTTAATGAAACAATCATTTTAAATAATAATAATAAGTTAGCGGATGTTTACCTTGACTTGGATATACGATACCAGCTGCAGTTTGACTAGGTGGTGCTGGAATTTGTATTGATTCAAGTGGCGGCAGAATAAGCCCTTGAGATACAGTAACTGCTTCTATTTCTGATTTAGGCCCTGTAGGTCTTGGTCTACCCCAAGATATTTTCAAATCATGGTCTTTAATATTTAAATTATTATGTGATTTTTCTACTGCTTGTTCAGCTGAAGTCCTGGTTGCATAATTAACAAATGCACATTTTGATTTATGTACAACTACAACTGATTTGATTTCTCCAAAAGCATAAAAATGCCCCCTAAAAAAATTAATTGAACAGCAAGAAAAAAAAATTAGAAAAATAATGTAATAAAAAGATAATATGAAATAATCAATTTATACCTTAGATCTGATTCTGTAATGTCATCTTCTATTCCTGTAATAAATAATGAAGTCTAAAATATATTTTTATATTAATGTTACACTAATTAAAATTAAATTTTATTATTATATTGTATTGTGGGAAAAGCATGAGCAAATGAATCAATGATAACATACTATAGTTTTATCTTCAGGAGGGGTAATGTTTGAACCACCACCACCTTTTACCCGATTAAGCATTTTCTTGGCAACTGGATCATTGGTTCCATAATATCTATCTTTAATGTTTTGATGTGACAACTCATTTTCTTCAGGTATTTCATGCCTTTATTCCCACCAAAAAACAATCGTGTATAAAAACAGGTTAAATAATTAAACTGTCATCCAAAAAAGCAAATCACTCAAATCAAAAATTACCCACCTGTAAGGACATTCGTCGCCACGTGTGCAGTTTCCTTTAACATAAAATGAACAAATATGTGGTCTATTTCGTTTGTAATAAGGTTCTGTTCTAGCTAATTTTTTTAGCATGTCTTTTCCTGCTGAATCAGCCTTTCCATAATTTATAAGGCTTTCTGGACCCGAAATCTTTATATAACAAAAAGTGATTAATTGATGGAGAAACAAAAATTAAATAACTAAATTCATTTAAAAAGAAATAATTTTATATCACCAACCTTTCCTTCAATATTTTGTGCAAAGTACTCTCTGTTAATATCAGATCTAGGCGCATCATTAGTAACATTAAGAGCAGTATCACGAACTTGAACTGGAAGATTATATTGTAAATCCAATAAACATGTTTGACAGACATTTTTTAATTTTGCACAGGTTTGACATATTTCTGTTTTTTTATATCTCATTCCAGCACCAGGAAGCCATCGGAAAATTGTAAAAGGACGAGAGCACACCTATCGCAAAAACCAATAAAAACAATAAATAATTGAAGGAATAAATTTTAAAAGTCAAAAAAATAAAAAACTCACTTTACATTCTTTACCATAACATTGTTTAGTCTTTAAGAAAAAAAGCTTCATCAGTCAAAAATTTAAAATGAATATGTAAATAATAACAATAGGTAATACATACCATTCGAACGTAAGGGTTATCTCCCAAACAAGTTTCGCAAAGGATTGGAAATTCCTAAAATAAAAATAATAATAAGTAAATAGAATGACAACCAAAGAAAAAAGCTATTTTTATTTTTTGATCTGAATTGTTAAAACTTTACAGATTCTTCCCATCCTTGCTTGTTTGGATCAGATTTGTGTGCCATTTGTCAAAAAATTAAAAAAATTAAGACTCTTTAAAATGTATTTTTGGGAATATTTGCACCAATTATTTAATATTTATATATTCAATTACATAAATTTCTAAACAAAAATTTTCCTTTGATTGTAAAATCAGGGTGTCAACTACAAATAGTTCACTTGGTTAAGTAAGGTCCCTAAAAATTACTACAAGAAAATATAATTTTTTAGTCTGCTAAAAATAGTATGGAACGAAAGAAACTTACCTTTTCACTCTATGTTAAAAATTTTGTAATTTTTTAAAGTATAGAAAAAAAATTTGAAAACAGTTTTTGATTCTTGGGATAAAATTTAGCATCACGATTGTCAAAAACATCATCATTATTATGAATTTGAAAGCTTTACTAAACGTCAAATAGTAACTAAAAATGCGGGAGAAATTTAAGATTCTAATGTTCTTTAAACTTGATGTAATTGAAGAAAAGTTTTGAATTAGTAAATTTTTAATTTTTATAATTAATTGTTCTATTCAATCCATACTTTATATATTCATAATAAAATTTTATTTCCTTTGAATTAATTTCGTAACATATACCTGGATAAAAAAATACCCTCAAACACACCACCATCCAACCATGTTTAAATCAATAGTAAATTCAAAAGGTTTGGTTGGTTTTCCAAGTTAATTATTATTTAATTCGTTTACAAATACATTACATCTTACTTCGCTACATGAGAACTAACAAATTGAATCCATATACCACTTTGAAATTGAAAGTAAATGTTATAATGTGTATTTAACATAATAATAATATCACTATTTTCTTCTACCCTCTTAATATTTAATATTAATAATAATATTAATGACATTTGAAATTGGATTTGTTTAAAAATTTCAATTCGTACAAGCAAAGTCAAAACTTTTCTTCTACGCTTTTAATACTACCATTAGTTTTTGCTTTACTTCCCCTTCTAGTTGAATATAGAAGGATCCTTAAAGGATCCCTAATAGTAAATCAAGGAATCTTCGGGGATATTTTTCAAGGGTTCTTCACGGGCGGCGAAGGATCCCTACTAATAAAAATTTGGGGGAATCCTTAAACTCGAAAGTTTCCTGATGCATTTACTAGAATTTCCATAGAAAATTTTATATGTAGGGTAGGAAAGTAATCAGATTTTGTTAAGTCCATGAAAGAAAAACGTACAATTCAAAAATATAATAATTAACTGTGCACACTTTATTCAAAATCTGTGACCAACAGTTGGCTATGATCGTGACCACTATTATAAAACCAATCAATGACGCGAAATATGATATTCAATTAAGAATAGACTGTTATAATTTTAAAATAGATTCACGTGTATATATATTTCATTCTTTCTCAAAAAAAATAATCAAGATTAATTAGGGATATGATAGAAATCTATATACACACACTAGGTATATATATTTTTAATCTATATACACACACTAGGCATATATATTTTTAATCTATTTATCAACTTGTAAACAATGCATTCTCCTTTTTCTCCACTCCTCATTAACTCCATAATATAATAATAAATATACAAATAATATATAAAATATAAATTATATGAATTATATAAATAGCCTAAATAGAAATTCTTAAGTCCATAAAAGTAAATAATTTATTTAATAGCAGTAGTAGTATTGTTAATATTATCTTCTTTCTTAATGATTTCTACATAATTAGCTGGAAACAATCCTTGCTCCCCATTTCTTAAACGGCCTCTCCACCATTGAGAAGGTTGTCCCCACATATCTACCTTACTCAAAATAGCAATTATATCACCACGCTGGAATGTTAATTCAACCTGTGACTCCCCTCTAAAATCATAAGTTGCTTGACACATTTCAAGATTGGCTAATAAATTATTATTATTATTACTACTACCAACATTATTAATATTATTGATATTATCATCTAGAATAGTTTTGGAAGAAGAATTTGCTAAATCAAATGATAAGTTTTGCTGTTGCTGTTGTTGACGTCTACCAGCAGAGAAAGCATGTATAAATTTATGCATAAGATATGGTAATCCAAAAACTGCAATTACAAAAAATAATAAAGGTCGTCGAGAATATTTACGTTGCTCTTGAAATTGTTGATAATCAGCCACATTCAAATTACTAGGATCAACTGGTGGCCGTCTACCGGTCAGTTTGTAAAATAAATGCTTTATCCATCTAATCAATGCAAAAATACTTAAAACTTGTCCCAAATAATTTCTCAAACTGCCAAATTGATCAACAACTCCAACCATTGCCATAAATGATGAATGTGTAGCAAAATATGTTGATTCCAACATTTGAGCAAATCCACCAAATGCATTCACTATTGACTCAATCATTTGAAAGCCTGCTGCTGTATTGGCCTCCATTCGTTGTGTAAGTGACATTTCATCTGGTCCACCTGGCCCCATCATTCCACCACCGCCACTACCATGGCCAAAGCGATTATATGGTGAACCATATGAATTATAAGAGCCATATCCACCATATCCACCACCATATGAACCATATCTACTGTATGGCGATGAATAACTTCCATACCTAGAGTATGGTGACCCATAAACACCACCATACGAGCTGCCATACGAGCTGCCATATGAGCCGCCATATGA